TTCTGTGGTGAGTATAGACTTTATGTAATCAATGCTTATAATTAGTGTCCTAACTCCAAATATGTATTATATATATATATATATATATATATGTACCTTTTTAATTTACTGTAGGTAGGATCAAGTATCCAAATTAGTGAGGCATGCCGCTTTTATACGGCTCCCCTCTCCCCCCTGGGGTGGAGGCCTCGACTCGAGGGGAGTTGCGCATTCGGGTGGATAAGCTTCTCATTGATGACGCCTCGGTGAATAGAAATCCCCTGGTGAATTTTCATTTCGGCGGGCCAAACGTTTCTGTAGATTCATCTTCCGGCAATCACGCGATCAGCCCAAATCGATTTGTCGTTCCGGTCGATTACTGCGCGGTGAGTCCACGGTTTTGGGGGGAGGAAAAGACCTCCGTGAGCTGTCAGCCCTCCACCGCACAGCACCCGCGCGGCTCCTTCACCTTCGTTTACCCCGTCAAAGTCGAGGAGGAGACTTTTCAAATGTATTTAAAAAACATGTCCGCTTCGGCCCATCACGGACTGCAGTTTGAAGTGCACGTCCCCTCAAGCTATAGCGGGCGGCCTCCGGTTTTAATCGGAAAATGCACGGTCCCCCTTGACTCCTTGGCCTCCCCGGAGGCCTCAACCTCCGCCTCCTTCACGAAGAATATCCTCAACGGCTGGTTTGGCGTGATTCATCAGTCGCAACAGCCGGCGGCGGCCACGACGGAGGCCGATCCCGCGGCACCGACGACCCCGGCCCCCACTACCCTCACCATGCCGATCGGCAAGTTAAAGCTCCACGTCCATCTGCACTACTTCTCCAAGCCCGCCCGGACGACCGCCAGGCGTCCGGCCCAGCGTGGGGGTCTTTCCCAGGGCCGCTCTCCGAAGAACCCCCCGGACGAGGACGAGGAGGGGGGGGGGCGCGACGACGACCGCGAGCACGCCCGCACGGCGCGCCCGAGCTGTCACAACTTCCTCCCCGTCTCCTTTCCCTTCTCCTTCCCGTCCTCGTCCTTTCTGGACCCGTCGAGCTCCGTCGTGGGGCTGAACGTCTCCGCGGAGGAGGGCCGACCCAGCGAGGAGACCGGCGACCACTCCTCCGTCGAGGTCGAGCGGGTGATCCCGATCGTGGAGAGGACGCGAGAGGAGCCTCCCCCGAAGACGGGAAAAGACGACCTAATGACCGGAGAGGTCTCCGTGGGATCGAGCTCGAACTCGATCTCGCCCGCGCGGAAGGCGAAGCCGGGGGAGGCATCGTCCGGAAGCTCGGCAACGGCGGCGTTGTTGATGCGAGAGCTGCTTCGAAAGGGCGTGGCGCTGCGAAGTCGGATGGAGGCGGCCACTACCGAGCCATTCTCGCTTTTTCCTTCCGATATTGGTCAAATGTCTTTACCGCGGAATCCGGGGTTTTCGTTTTTTCCTTTGCCCACCCCCTCTGCCGGTATAAAGTTTCCAAAAGAGGCGATTGGGGTAAGAAGGGGAGGGCGTGATGGACTGGATCCTTCGAGGTGCCGAGGCAGAGAATACAGAGGAGCCGGCGAAGACGGTTTGGACGACATCAGCTCCGTCCTTTACACCTCCGAGGAGAGCGATGAGGAGGAATTTATGATCGAGGTTCAGAAAGACCGGGCAGCGACCCGAAGGGGAGAAAAGGAAATTTCTTCTACCCTCTTATCACAGCCGACTTCCACTGCTTCACAATTCAAACAAGCAGAGGAAGTGGCTCCTATACCGCACGTAGTTTCCACAATGATTGCCAAAGATTCTCGGGGTTCCTTTCTTTCCGTTTCCGACAACAACGGAAGAATGGAGAGGGATAACCATGCCAGCTCTGTACTTAATCCGCATAAAACTGTTGCTGAGATGCATTTCACCGATGTTTCCTTCGCTTCGACTGACATGACGAAGGATCTGGAGGAAATCCGCATTAACGTTCGTCTGTCAAAGGATATCACGGTGGAGAGCCCGGCATCCGGTCCCTTTTCCTCCTTTGTTCACCGCATCCCTCTTGCGCAATCGACAATCTGTTTGAGCTTTATAGTATGCTTTTATTCTGAAAAAAAAAGTCGTCTGGTGATTGAGTTTATCAAAGTTAAATCTAAAGCCCGACAATTAGAATCTGCCGTTGAGCGTGAGGTACTTTCGGAGGAGTTGCTAGGTTTATGCATTGTCGGGATGTTCACTCAATCCCGCGATATCGTACTGCGTGATCCAGTAAGCAGTCAAACTAATGTTTATTGTCATGTTGATTTGCAGTTATTCCCACAGGGATGTGATCGTAGGAACTCAGAAATCCATGCTAATACAGAACCGTTTGTTAATTTACCCAAAAATGATCACTCTCGACGCCCAAACATGCTATTGACATCTGGTCATAATCATGTAAACGGCACGGTGGGATTCACTTCCCATGGTAATGAACATCGTAAAAAGAAGAATCACATTAAAAGAAGAACCTCCCATGCAATTCAAAGGAGCTTTTCTATGCACGATAGCTCCTCTTCCTGTAGTGCAGAGGAAGAGGCTAGGGAAGATTGTGGCAAATATGTGGATGATGATATCAACCGCCCTTTTGTTCCCAACAGCCACCCCACAAACGAGCAGACAAGGCAATTTATAGGCCATAAATTTGCTGTTGAGTCTGATTCTCATAATATAGGAGATGATTTTTCCTCAGATTCGCATGTGTTGCTTTGTTTATCTATTCATGATATCCAAGGCCTTCCACGCGTAGCCCTCAATTCAGTAGAGGACTACACAGCGCCAAATTCTTTTGTTGTGCTTGACTCCTTAATAAGGACGGATGGGAGTTTTATTGAAGATTGGTACCTTGAGACAAAGGGCTCTTTCGATCGTACGGAGGTAGTTTACAACTCCCGACGGCCACTTTTTGAATACCGTAGCGTTATCCGCCTTCCACTGGAGCGAAATTCCGTGAAAAAGGCCTTGACTAACGGCTTTAACGAAAGGGAAGAAGAGGCTTCTTCGCCAACCTCATTCCAACCCCAGCAAAGAGCGTTATTAGGGGATTTAAAGCTCACATTATGGCATTACGCCTGGAAGGAAGAACAAAGGAGGGGGAGCACAGGGAATACGAAAGATTCCATAAATGAAGTGAATAAGAGTGAGGTGGTTAGTGGGAGGAATGGCAAGCTTCTTGATAGCAGTTCACCTCAGGAAAATGAAGCCGACGAGAGCTCTGAGGAAGTTCGGTTTTGGTCTCGTGCGGCCATAATGGGGACCTGCAACGTTGATCTACGGCCTCTTAAGTATTTAAATCAGTTAGAAGGGTATTACCGTGTGATACATGAAATAGAGGGGAAGGGGGGGGGGAATAGCGTGCGATTAGATAGAAATAAACTAACGTCTCGTTATCATACCATCGGGAAGGCCGAGCATGAAACCGAAGCTGACAAAGGGAATGTTGTCGGATACATTCATATTGGTGTGCAACTACTCTAGGGATATCGCACTTAATGCAGGAGGATGTCAATCCTCTTTAGAATATTAAAAAAAAAGGGAAGGGAAGTAAATACCTATTTTTTACCCGCGCTATCTCAAAATTTTAACAAGAAGATGTTAAAGTTCTTTTCTCCCTTATTTTCTAAGTGGCTTGTATGATGCCAACCCTCGAGTAGACATCCGTCAAATGGGCCCTATCAGCTATTTTGTGTTATCTCATGTTCGCGAAAGCTATTGTATGTGCATCCTCTAACTGAGAACAATAGCATAATAGATGCAGCCTATTTACCAGGGGAGAGGATACAACACTTAATTCCAGCCCAACTTTGGTTCTTAGCCCCTAGCTTTATAAGAAGATTGTTGGAAAGGATGAGAATTAGGAATAGTAATAAGAAAACCGTCAACTTGGTGTGTTTAACATTCGATTTTTATGCAGATTTTCTTTTATTTATTCCTCTCTTTTGGAAATAATACACTAAGAAAAATAGGATTGATTGAACTGTATTCAATGCTTTTGTAACTTTATTGACTAGTACGTACGCATAATTTTTTTTACTCTTTTTTTTTGTCATAGAATCAACTACTATATATCTATTTATATAAATATGTATATATGTATAATAAAAATAAAGAATTCCTTTGTGTTACTTTTTTCTTTATTTCTGTATAAATATCATAGAATTTTGTGAACAGGAAGAAAATATCTAGGAGGTTAATGAAGCTGAGATTATTTTTACCATATTTGTTAGACGATATTGTTTCTTTTTCCGCTTCTATTTCGTGTAGATCAATTTAATATACGTGTGACTATTTTTTAACTTCATCTGCACGTGCAATCGTGAAAAAAATATCAGTTTCATATTACTTTCCCCCCTGGAATAAAGTAGGACTTTCTGTGTCTGTATGTATATATGTTCAATATATAGGTGTGAAAGTGTAATAACTAGCTATTTCTATCAACCTTTGATTTACCATGGGTGGCAAAATAGATCAGACTAGAAATGGCACGATATCATTAATAATGATCACTTTGTGATTTCACTTTACCACTGACTTCGTGATGAAACCCCTTCCAACATGTGTTTGTCTATAATACTGATAATCTTCCGAATAGTTCACTAAGAGTAGGATTTCCGCTTCAATGGTCAGATTTTAATACACAACATCTGAGTTAAGCTGCCAGCTACTACGTATCAATAATTGATTTATACAACGGTTCAGTCTCGGCCTATGAAGTTTGAGTTTCATTTTATACCCCCACCCACCACATACAAAAGATAAAATAAAATGCATTTTAATTTTTTTAGCTTTCCGTTTCGACCTAGAATTTTTTCCTGCTCTAAAATATTTGAATATGGTTAACCTCGTATTGTGTGACTGAATTTTGGTCTTCTTCTGTCCCCTGTTCAGGTCTTTGGGAGTCACGCAAGCTTGTAGCGCTGATGACCCAACCTCTAAATGAAATAAGGGGGGAGAGGGAAGCGATAATCTTATTTGAGCGTCAAAAAAAATATGCCCGAGTGCTTCTATGCATCTGTTTATTACCCTATACTCATTCCTTATCCTTTTTCTCTGTACTTGAAGATTCCCAGTAACCCCCATATCATCCACCTAGCACATCCTACGGAACCGGAGGTCGCGATGCCCGGCAAGAGTCTGATTGGATTCAGCTCGGTGAAGTCCGAGTACCACTGCGCGACGCTGCTGGGGAATTGGGCGGAGGAGCGGCATACCTTCGGGGCGGGCCTCGCCCCACCCGTCCCCCCCCTCCACGAAACCACCCACATGGCCTCCTACCGCCCCTTCACCGAGGCCGAGGCCTCCGCCGCGCGGTCACTGGGCTGCTTCTGCGCCGAGGCTCCGCGCGAGCTGCTCGTCCTCCACGGCGACGTCACCGCGCCGGTGGTGGACCGCTGCAGCCTGGCCGAGCTCAGCTACGCCGACCCTCGGCTCCCCCCCCTCTCCCATCTCACGATCCTCGACCGCCCGGGGCTCTCCACCCGGAATGCCCGCTCCCGCTCCCTCCGAGGCCTCACAGGACCCTCCTCAGAAGAGAACACAACCCAAACCCAACCCTCTGACACAACCCAAAACGAGCCCGCTGACACAACCCCCGGTCCGCCTCAGGACGGAGAGGTCTACGCACCGCCACGGTACCAGGCGTTTGGACGACAGATGGACCTTGAGCGACTCCGAACCACAAAACAGTCAACCATCGACGCAACCGGGGAGTACCTCAAGCACCATCCACTCGCCTACCCCCTCACCAGTACTGAGTGTATCGGTGACTTTATGTCGTGGAAGGATAACCCTATGCTGAAAACAGGTCTTCGGCAGGAAGAATAGTCTGGGAGTGATTTTCAACGCAAAAAGAGTGGGTGGGAACGACAAAACCGTCGGCATATACAAGGGTCTTTAGTATTTTGTGTTTTGTGTCTTTCCATGCGGTTGTAGGCCAGAGGCCTCATCCGTACCCATTGAAACTATTATGTCTATAAGCGGCTGTAAAAAAAGAGAAGATCAATCCTTCGATGAAAATTTATATATGTATCTTAATAGTAAATTGTGCAGCATCAAGAAATGAAGAATGCCATTTTTTGTTATTTTTGTATGTATTTAAATCTTAGTTCTAGATTGTGATTGCAAAAGAAAGGAGAGAAGAGGAGAGGCAACTATCAGAACGCTCCCAACTCCGCTGTAGAATTCGATATTTAGGTAAAAATGCTTGACACACACATGCATACATGTATCTATCGATATATGCATGCATAGATTTGTGTATATGTGAGTATTCTTTCCATTTTGAGTAAATCATTTTCTTGAATTTACCTTTTGGGGGACTTTGGGTTTTACTACTCAATATATTGGTTTTGTACCTTTTGACTCATCAAGCTTGTTTTACATAAAAATCGAAACGCTATATATACAATTTCAAGCATTTTTATTGTTGGCAAGATGTCTCTATCGGTATGTGTCTGCAAACCGGGATCGCAC